TAACTCCGATGTATTTCTCATATCCAAATGGTATCGTCATTAGCCTGTCATTCATTCATTCAGTCATTCATCATTTGCCTCCCCCTTTTTTTTTCCCCGAGAGGCTTCGTATTGAGATCCAATACATCCATAACATGTGCTGTCGTACATCCATACATCCAATACGTAATTGTTTAAATACAACTCCATACATTCATACAATGATACATAGTCATACATGCCTATCCACACCCACCCCCCCAATTCAAGAAAAGAAACCACCCCCATACCTCAGCTGCCTGTTACTTTTCCTATTCTGGTGCGTACAAGCCTTCAGCTTGCTTAGCACCAACTAAACTAGCAGGCCAGATCCCTGTCACTGGCCACCCCGCTGCTTCCACTGCTCTGGGACACCGAGAAAGGGAGGGTGGATGAATGGCTAGCGATGTAAATCTAGTAGTAGTCTAGTTCTAGATCACCGACCTCAATCTTTCCGGAGGGTCCAAGGAAACTAACCAATGCAAATTAGTATATTTATTATTTTTGTTATTCGTGTTGTTTTATTCCCTACTCTTCTTCTTTCTTATTCCATATTTCTTTTCTCTTCTCCCGATTCAACAAATAAACTAAAGAGCAATTAATTAGAAAGGAATCAAGACGGACCGAACAAAATAAGGGAAATACACACAGAGAGAGGGAAAGAGAAGGGGGAAAGAAAAAAAGAAGAGAAATTAATAAAAAAAAAGCCGAATAAACCTTACCCAAGAAGACAGGCTGAAGAATCAAGCCATATATTTGCTTATTGGTGATCCCCCATTGTCAAAATCAATGTCATAGCCCACCTCGTTGCGACTGCCGGCTACAATCCATTGTCCCTCTCTCCACTCTTCTTTCTTGCCCTACTCAAGAGCTTATATACATCTGGAGCCACTCTGGTCGGTTCTTCCTTCAGGGACACGCTCAGCTTGTGGGGAACTCAAATTCCATTGCTGATGCTGATGTTTGCTTTTTGAGATCTTGATCTTGATCTTGACTTGATACCCTATATATTTTATTTGCTTGTTCCCGACCTGTTTGCTTCTTCACTTCATCATAACCTTCCCTTGTTTTGTGTCATTATCAACAAGCAGTCAAGGCTCTGTCTTTCGAAGAAAGTGGGTGAGTGACAAGTCTTCCAACTCAATACGACTTACCCCGCGAGGATAGCTTCAAATATTGTAGATGGGTTACTGAGACGTGATAGCAGGCAGTATCCTGTTCTTCTCATCGGTCCATCTTGCTGTCTCTGTTTCCTCGCTCATCTTGCTCTCCAACCGCTTGCAATCAGCTCGGCAGGAGATAAAGGCGCTTTGAGGCCCTGTGGTGGAGAGAACGCAAAGTCCAGCAAACCTATTATCGCCATTTTGTCGAGATGGAAACTGCAGAACCAGTGTCATACGAATTTCCCGGTCATGCCGTTGGGGCGGTTGCGCCTCGTCGAATGATGGGCTCGAATGTCGGCCACAACTTTCCCTTCTATACCAATGGGACTGGTGGCTATACGCTTCCATTCCATCAATCTTCGTCCCCTGCGTATAGCTTCGGACACACACTCAACCACCACCATCATCACCACCACCATCATCCGGGCTACCAGCATTATTTCGTCGCCGGCCAGCAACCGATCAACCCCCAGCCGGTCCGTCTATCCTCTGAGCCACCATCCATCCAGCAAATTCCCGATATTCGGCCGGCCAAAAATGCCGTTAACCGGGTAGCCAGGGATCCTTTAATGAAGATCGAGCACAACGGGGGCTCACAACAACCTCCCGGAGCCCAGTCCTCGAGTAACGAAGGAGGTGCACAGGGGAAGAGCTCCAGCTCCAACGAGGTTGAGTTCTCCACGGAAGTAGATATCTTGATGAAGGCAATTCAGGCCAAAGCCAGTGCTCAGTCACCAGGAGTGCAGTCTCTGCCACCACTGCAACAGTTGACACACGGGGGAAGCACTGGATACCCTCAGAGTTATACGATGCCAGTGACGACCCCAAGGTGCACTGTTGTGGTCGAAGAGGCTCCATCGAGATCAGGCAAAAAGCGCAAGTATGCCTGCACTTTACCACAGTGCGGCAAGAGCTTCGCGCAGAAGACGCACCTGGATATTCATATGCGGGCTCACACGGGGGACAAGCCCTTTGTAGGTGGCATGAGAATCGAGAATTTTTGAGATATGACACTAATATTTTACGAAAAGGTGTGCAAAGAGCCCTCATGTGGACAGCGCTTCTCTCAGTTGGGTAATCTGAAGGTAAGTCATGGGATGTTCCCCAAGATAATTTCCTATAAAGGGAGCTTCAACACCATCGAAGATATTGCAGATTTCTAACGTAAACAACTGGTAATTAGACTCATCAACGACGCCATACTGGGGAAAAGCCATTTTCCTGTGATATATGTCAGAAACGATTCGCTCAACGAGGCAACGTTCGTGCTCATAAGATCACACATCAACATGCCAAACCTTTCACTTGTCTCCTGGATGATTGCGGAAAGCAATTTACCCAGCTTGGAAACCTCAAGGTGCGGAGACCAATAATCTTCAACCCTGAAATACCTTCAATAGTAGCTGACTAGTATAACAGTCACACCAGAACAAGTTCCATGCCACAACCCTACGAAATCTTACTTTAAAATTCTCACAAGTGACAGAGGGAGATCACATGAGCCCACAAGACAGGAAGCTCTGGGAATACTTTGCTACGTTGTACAAGAACAGCAACAAAGGAATCAAAGGGCGCGGGAAAGATCGCCGGATCTCGCCTACTTCACGGTCTGATCCGGGCTCCGACTCCCGCAGAAGGATCCAGCCTCTCAGCAGCAATGATGACAAGATGCGCCGAGCAAGCTATGAAGATACATCTATGTATAACGGGGGTTCTAGCAGCGATGATGACGACGCAGAACCTTATTATATTGAGAGGCAGGCTCATTGACATACCATACCGGCTTTCTCCACATATTTAGAACCTTGTCGCATCATTTACATTGCCCTCATTTGTTACTACGATACCAGTCTCGTTCGTGTTTATTTCGTTTTGCCTCATATAACCCGCATATCATGTTGAATATGGTGTTCGCCTGGGATAGGGCTTTCCCAGATGTTTCGTTCGGCCTGAAGACTCTTCTTATGTACATCAACGTGGTTTCCCCTTTTCTTTTCTTTTTTTTCTGGACATATATACCTGTGGCGGGTAAAGCCCGTTTAGTACGTTCTGGTTCTCAACATGTTGATATATATGATTATATTACAACCCCTACAACTCCAAATATAATACATGCCAATTTCTGGCAAATAGACATTATTGATTGCAGGCGACAGGAGCCTTAACGCATATGTATACACAAAGATCATATAAGGTACAAGGTACAACCTGCACACGAGCCGGCGGATGCGAGATCTGAGCAGCTGTGACATATGTCCGATAGGTAGACGTAGTTGCCTCCGCTTTCCGCGCGGATAAGGCAACGAATTCCTCTCTATCAAAGGTTGGATAATAACCCTGGTAGGTACGCTCTGGTATTTTCATACACCAGGAAAGTGACCCACGTACTGGGCAACACGCGCAGCAGATTGGGGCCAAGGCCCTTGTAGAAGCCAGTGATACCTTCTCTGGCCCAAATCTGAGCAACGGCATCCCTGACGCCCGAATACACGAGGTGAGCATCGTATGTCTGCAAGCGAGACCGCAACACCTGATACGGATAGGTAACACACCCGGCGAACAGTTTCGACAAGCTGGAGATCACGAATAAGTCTACATTTCCCAGCTCCCGTATCCCCGACCGGGCCGCGTCCGATGACAGCGACGACACATGACTCGAACCAGCATCTCGTTGAAGGCCAGTTGTTCCGGCCGGAGGAGCCATGCGGGAGCGATACAATTTCAATTGCTCGTACGCCATGAATTGAAGTGCGCCATGGCTGACTCCAAACAGAGCTGGAACCAGGCCCCGATAGAAGCCCGCAATACCCTCCGAGCGAAGAATCTCCTTCGCTCCCGTTGTGAACGACGCGTATGCTCCGGGGCTCTGGGATCCTGTTGACAGCATGCGGGTTTTTATCACCCAGATCGGATTGGTTAGCGCGGACGTCAACATCCCTGTGAGAATCATAATTCCGCAAATTAGCCTCATCTGCCGTTTCAGAACTGCCTGATCGGTGCTTTCTTGGGGGGGAAAGCAGTCGCAGGTCTGTTTCCTTTTTGCTTCTGGAGCGTACCTGCAGATCCTGACGCTAGGAAGTAGTCGGCTGAGGTGAGGGCCTGGTCTTCAGAACCACTGCGCCAGGTGCGCATTACATCCTTGATGTTGCCGTAGCACAAGAAGTACAGCGCCCAACTTGTGGAATTCCCAACTATGTTGGGTGTCAGACCTCTGTAGAAGGCTTTGATGCCGCCCTCATTCTGGAAGATCTCGCGGATTACTGGGACTGAACCGCCGACACGCGAAGAGGATAATCGGTCGACTAGAAGATATAGCAGATTGATACTACGTCAGCCATAGCTTCAATACTGATTTGACATTCGTGATTGATTCGCGCTCCACGTCTTGTCTTTCCTCCCGGAGAGATGAAACACTAACCTTGAAGCCGAGTCTTGATCAGATCTAGCGGATGCAGGCAGAGCGTCGAAGCGATTCCGGCCGTGAATCCCGCTACGGTCTCCACAAAGGACGAGGACAAGCCATCCTTGCCAGTCATTAACCCTTCAAGTCCTCCTGGAATGTGCCGCTTGCAGGGGTTTGAGATTCTAGCCGGAAGTGTCGGGAGGATTGAAGAAGTCCGGATTCGGTCCGGAATTCTTTTGGCCAAAGATTTGAGCTGGAGCTAAGAGTCGAGTTCATTGCGCTTGGCGGGCCGAAGCGCCCCAAATGTCCGAGGGAAACAACCGGATACTTCTGAAGAGACATTTCCTACGACTATCACTACAAGAAACAAGATCATATATATCCTAGTCTTTGGATCTGGAGTCTGCTTCAAAGTGCATCAGTTGAGCTTACGCAAGTCTTTATAAATGTAGTGTTCCGGAAACCCTTTGCATGTATCCTCGGTCCTGCCCTGGACCTGTATATGAAATTAAAACATTCGCGTTAACCAATACAAAGCATGAAAACTGATCGTAGTTTAAAAGTACATGTGCATCGATGTAGACTTCAAGTTGTCAACATCGACCCGAGGGGTTGAGGTGGAAGAGGTTTCTCAGAATCTGCTAGTATTCCGACAGGCAGTCTTATTTGTCTGTCTAATTGCAGAGTGAGACTTCAGGAGTTGCATGTGTCTGGTGGATGGACATTCATCGTTTCCGTATTCTGAAGCAACTCATTCCTCTAGGCGAGAGGCGAGAACAGCCTATATGTAGCGTTAGTGGGTTGGAATCGTCGGGGAGCGTCGGTAGGGCGCAGTCGCTCATACTTGAACAGAGAAGGCTTGGGTTCACTGTAAGTGTAACCTATTCCATAATCGTTAGCAGCGAAACTTCCATCATAAAGGCCCCGGACGGGTCCATAGAATAATTATTCCATCACACGTACCGAGATAGACAATCAACGGCAGGTATCCACTTATGCAAACATAACCGTCAGCTTTGGTCAGGACACATTGGTCGAAAGGATCAAGATGCGACGAACTAGTGAATGGCAACTCTGGAGACGTCAATGACCTTGGAGATACGCTCCTAGATAAAAGGTATATCTGTTAGCATACCGAGATCAAGCGTGACTAGTTATGTAGGACGTGCAACAGAGCACCGCAGACTAACCTTGGTTTCCTCGGAGAACTGGACCATATTGCCGGCTTAAACTTGCACGAAGGCTGTGATAATAAACACGAGAATTTCCCTGCTGTTGATGTCCGTAAACTTGAGATTGGGAAAGGCGGAAGGGTTGACGGAGTGACGGAGTGACGGGAAAGACGGGGGAGGTGAAGCTCAAAGTTTTCCGGGGCTAAAGTTGGATCAGTAAAAGCTCCGCCGATAACCTGGAGTCCGAGTCTCCAGCGATCATCCTTCCAGCCCTTGTTCTCCCAGTACCTTCATTTGACCTCTCAATATATCCTGACTACCAATTCTTTCTTATCAATTTGTAGTCTCCTTCTAACTGATTCAAACGCCTCCCCCATCTTTCTGTTCCTGTTCATTCGCTTTCATCCAGTCGAGGGGGTTCTTCAAGAGTAATACCTAGGCGCTATGTCCGGCGCAAGGCATTGGTAAGTGCCACTCTTCACTCCATCTGGATATACATTCTCATAATGCCGGTACTTACAATTGTTGGAATAGGGAGCAAGACAAAGAGGCCACCGTCTACATCGGAAACCTCGATGAACGGGTCACAGATAGCCTGGTATGGGAGCTGATGCTGCAGGCCGGGCGCATCGTTAACGTTCACCTACCGAAAGATCGAGTCACACAGTCGCATCAAGGCTACGGATTCGTGGAATTCATCAGCGAGGAAGATGCTGAATACGCGTCGCGAATCATGAACGGAATCCGCTTGTATGGAAAGCCCATCCGCGTTAACAAAGCATCGGCCGACAAGCAAAAGTCGGTGGAGATTGGAGCAGAGCTTTTCGTCGGCAATCTTGATCCCATGGTTACGGAACAAGTTCTTTATGATACGTTCAGCCGCTTTGGAAACTTGGTCAATATTCCCAAGGTAGGATCTCTTCGTCCCTGCTATAGGAGTGCCGTGGCTTTCGAGTAATTTACTAACAATTGCTGCTACATAGATTGCGCGAGATGATAACAATCTGTCAAAGGGCTATGGATTTGTGTCTTTCGCCGACTTCGAGTCTTCAGACGCGGCCATAACCAACATGAACGGCCAATATCTTATGAACAAGCAGGTCTCCGTGCAATACGCCTATAAGAAGGATGGGAAAGGTGAACGCCACGGTGATGAAGCAGAACGAATGCTGGCAGCACAGGCTCGCAAACATAACGTGCGCCCGCCGACCCAGCCGCTACCTCCTCAATTCTCCAACCCAGGGACACCTATGGTGCCTGCTGCGATGGCCAATGGTGACAGCTCTCGGCCAATGAGTACTAATCCACCGGACCTTAATATGGGCAGAGGCATGGCTCCTCCGAATGTACCGTTCCAAAACGTGCCTCCCCCACAAGTAAGCCGACCTGTTCCACCTCCTGCTTCTCTGGCGAACCCACCCCCCGGTTTACCAGCACGGCCGCCGCCTTCTCAGGCCGGATATGGGGGGCCGCAGTCTTTCCTCCCACCGGGATTCAATGGTGCTGGTCAACAACCTCCCTTCCCTCAAGCAGCACCTCCGCCAGGCTTCGCTCCCCCAGGGTTCGGTTCACCGGCAGGAACTCCTGGTCCTCCACCACCGTTGCCCCCGGGATTCCAGCAACCTGGCTATGGGCGCGGGCGCTGAGCATCCTAGGTCAACTACCTTGGCTTGAACCGAAGACGAGGTGGTACTTAAAAAGAACAATTCCATAATTGTCAACCATTACTTGGATCGTCGGATGATAAATACTCGACTTGATGTAACGACCCACAACCGAGTAGCTGTTAATGCCCTACGGAAGAATACAAACCGCGCCCGATAATGAACGGCTCAAGATGCCTCAACTCACGGGATAAAACTGACATATCCGCTTGTTACACATGGCAAGATTGAAATGCCAATCAGCATTAACGTTCAACAAGAAGGAGGAATGTGTCTGAATAATCAAACCTGATGTCCACAGTTCTCGATATCTCATTTATGCTGAGTGGTAGCAATGAATACAAAAATTGAAACACTACAGCATTTCAGATGCCCATGTATGGTAACTGAGAGTTAGTTGCCAGCAGTGATCCACGAAGTCATGAATTAGAGTTGACACAAGATATCAAGTCAATCTTCAAGCAGGGAGGCCAACGCTAGATCATGACGGCAATAGTAAACATACTCTACACGCTGCAAAGGAGTCTTGAAATCATTCGGTAAGGAGAGGGTATAAGTAGAGGAGAGTGCTGGTGAGAAGCATATGTCGGAGGAAAATAGGAAAAGGAACGAGGGCAACATAAAAACCAAGCGACTGTGATACAAACGTCATCAAGAGAATGACACGAACTTTGGGTCCCTAGGTCGGCCATCGGGACCAATATTGTTCTTGGAAAAGCGCTGCTCCATGTAGATCCGACGACCTTCATTGAAATCCACTCTTCGACGTTTCATGATCCGTAGAATTTCGCGTTTGGCCTGGTCATCCAAGCCCGCCCTGGTGTCACCCTCAGCAATATTGGCGGAGATATCGAACTCTGATGAGACCAGACCGGCTTCCACATCGCCAGCAAACGTCGAGGGGAGACGATCGTAAATGTAGTCGGGAACGGGCAGTAGATGTAGCCATCGGGACCGGGTGAGGTAGAGCGCTAAAGGCAGGTCAGGAAGGAAGGCTTGGACGACTTGCAAGATTGAGGAGCTGGAAGCTTTGCATACCTGTGCCACACACAACAACCGATATGGTGAGGAAGTAGAGAAGGTAGTAAGCCATGGTCAATGAGGGTTACCAGGCGCTGCTAAACCGCAGCGGGGATTAGGCTAGATAGGTAGATGAAAGCGTAGCGCGGCGGGGATTCAGGCTTCAATTCCCCTAAAGCGACAGGAATAAGACCATTCACAGGGGTAAGCGGTATACAGTATTCGAGTCTGGCCGGCGTCTTGCCAGAGCCTGCTACTTAGGAGGCATTTAGACAACAATGATAGACAGTCGGGTCATACGTAAGTGTACGCATATGGAAGAGCGCGGAAGGTGTAAGTGGGTCAAGGGCGCGGACGCGGCTGGAACGACAGGCGGCGGCCCCCGTTCTCAGGCAGCACTCACGGGCATCTAACGAACCGCCTTGAAAATGGGTCTATTCCTAAAGCGGCCCGCTTAGCGAGGCTCTCAGCGTTGGGATTCTTGGCGCTGGCACACACAACTGAAACCTTCTAAGGGCTAGATATTAAGTCCGTAGCTGGTATATACCGAACGGACTTGCGACGATTTGGAACTGTCCTCATCCCCCACCCAAGCTTCGAAAGAGACATTCACAATGGCCGCCAACGTTTCCAGCGACCTCATCTGGCAGCTCACCCGTACGTCACTAGCACCTTCCTACGCATATTTTATCCCAATGGAAACCCTAGGAGCCGTTTCGCGCCTCGTCTTCTCCGGCTAATGTTACGACTACCTCAACAGGCACCCAGAATGCTTATCTGGTCAAGCGTAACAGCGGCGGTGGTTCTCAGTTCTCCCGTGACCCCCTGAACCTGCAGAACAAGCACTCTTTCAAGGTACGGACCCTGGACATAAGGTCTGGGTTATGTTTTCGTGCTAATGTCGAATCACCTGTTTAGTACGCCGGCTATGCCAACACCAAGGTACTTTACCCGCGCTTCATGTCATAAGGATTTTTTCCGTTCGGGAGTGGATGTTTAACGCTGCAATAAACAGGCGGTTGGTGTCCAGGCCACCGAGAACGGCGGTGTTGCTGTCATCACCAAGAAGCCCAGCAACCCCCAGCAGCCTGCCAAGAACGTCGTTACCGTGACCTACGGCCCTAACGCCTCCACCCGCAAGTAAGTTGATATGAGCAGTTGGCGTGCTATGATGTCCGTGAGGGAGGCGCGACAGTTTGCTGATACTGCTCTCGCATAGGATCTACAAGGGTGTTGCCGACAAGACTGCCAAGAACGGTTACCGTGCTGATGTCCGTGAGGACGCCGTCGCCCGTGTCAGCGCCGTCCGTCGCTCCCAGAAGGCCAAGAAGGAGACTCCCGCCCAGAAGCCCCGTGGTGCTAAGGCCAGAAAGGCCGAGGAGAAGTCGGAGTAAATGCCAACTATCTCTTTTCCGGGAAGGGCCAGGAGGCATGATGTCATGAGAGCTGGTCGGAATGATCGACCAGAAAAGCGCCGTGCTGGCCAAGGGCGGTAACATCTATGTAATTTAGCAATACTGCTACCAGGGGGGCATTGTTCTCCGGCCAGGCCATTCAGAATGGAAACCAAAAAAAATCTTGGGAAATTCAACAACAACAAAATGAATGGGGAAATGGAAGAATTGCCATCTTCAATTTTGAACACAAGTGGTAACAATCGGACTGACGGGAAAACAATCAGCCTTCCGCTTGCAACTGCCTGTGATGTCCCCTGGCCATATTTTGGTAGGCTGTTTATTGCCGCCTGTCGGGCCGAAGTAGAATGTAGAACCGATGTCGTAAGCACGTATCTAACCGCAAAGTTACCGTGAGACAACTTTGATATCCGCCTTTTCCCGAAACCTTGATGGAATCCCCGGTCAAACCGGTATATTCCTTCGCATGTGGACTCTGGAACGAAGGAGTCGACGAGAATTGCCGGAATCTGGGGCGGCGTGTTATGGGGGAGGACTACATCCGAGGGATGAATCTGAACGACTCCAGAAGTGACTAAGCAACCGTGAACCGGAAGCAACAAACCGGCTCTCAAGGCAAAGATAGAACGTCCGGACTACGGAGGAAAGATTTGGCGTGTGCCTGATGACTTTTGTTCCACATGGGCCCGGGGAAGGTTTGTAATGGTAGTAATAAGGTGCTTTGGCCTTGATTAAGCACAAGTCAGCTTTGCGGGAACTACATGCTCGATGGTGAAGTATATCATGTACTGGATGGAGCATAATTAGGGGATGAGTTCCGTAGAAATGTGTAACAAAATCCACTCGACTTGATGCCCGCTGGGGTGTATGTAACTATGTCGGGTGAGTTGCCGACTTACTACTAAAGGCGACTGGATGTTTGGGGAACAATGCTATTGGAGAGGGGCCCGGGCACCCTTTGGGGGACACCCGCGGATGGGCTGGATCTCGGTCACTGGAGACATAGCCCAGTGGTCCAGTGGTCCAGTGGTCTAGTTAGCAAGACAGCTTCATTTGTTAACCCCACATGTGAACCTCCGTCCGGTTTCCGTAGTATATAATGGTCCTGGAGCTTCTCCCTCTGTCGATGCGAATTGAAAATTAATTTGCCCATCAACATATTTCTTATCTATCTATTCATTGTTTCTTGCCCATTATCATCTCTCTCTCTCTCTCTCTTTCCTCTTCGGAAGAAAATACTATTAGTAAGTATGATATGAGCCCAGGATTGAGCCAGTGATCCCCCGATCCTTCCTAATCCCTGTGCTGCCACTTGCCCCGACCTGTTCACCGTGACCGTACCACCACCACCACCACCACCAGCTGCAGCAACACCACCCCGCCCCCTCCTCAAACTAAACCCCTCCCTTTCCCATTCCACCCCCTCTTCCCCTCCCTCCCCCTGTTCATTCGTTTATTTTTCCTTTTTTTTTTTATCATCTGGGTGTTCCCCCCCTCCTCCCTACTAGTTCCTTCCCAAACTTCTTCTCCTCTTTCACTCTTGAACATCTCTCTCTTCCTTTTGTTTGATACCCACACTAATCTTGCGTGCTCCTCTTCACCTTTGTGTATAGATTTGTCACAGTTATCACAAGAGAAGTTCTCAAAAATCACAATGGTTAAAGCGGGTGAGTGGTCTTCACGGCGCCTGCATTTTGACCCCGCTTTTTAAAACGAGAACGACCCCGGACTAAATCCATTTCGACAGCTGTTCTTGGAGCATCTGGTGGCATTGGCCAGGTACGTGCCCCTCATTTGCCCCTACCAGAACTGCAGCCCGCGATGCAGGCCTGTTACCTTCTTTAACTTTTACTGACTGCCCATGTGCTTCTGATTGATTAGCCTCTGTCTCTCCTGCTTAAGACAAGCCCCCTGGTTGACGACCTCGCGCTCTACGATGTTGTGAACACCCCCGGTGTCGCTGCCGACCTTTCTCACATCTCCTCTGTTGCTGTATGTGTGGCCGTGTCACAACCCGCTCCCTATCTCCACAAAACAATCTGGCTTTATTTCTGACATTGTCGATAGAAAATTTCCGGATTCCTGCCTAAGGATGATGGATTGAAGCACGCCTTGACCGGTGCTGACATTGTTGTCATCCCTGCTGGAATTCCCCGTGAGTGAACCACCTCTCATGTTCCGAGGTGCTTCTGACTGACAAAGTTGTTGTTAATAGGCAAGCCTGGAATGACTCGTGATGATCTGTTCAAGATCAACGCCGGTATTGTGCGCGATCTGGTCAAGGGCATCGCCGAGTACTGCCCCAAGGCGTTTGTTTTGATCATCTCCAACCCTGTCAATTCTACTGTTCCCATCGCCGCAGAGGTCCTCAAGGCCGCTGGCGTCTTTGACCCTAAGCGTCTCTTTGGTGTTACCACTCTGGATGTTGTCCGCGCGGAGACCTTTGTCCAGGAATACTCAGGCCACAAGGACCCATCTGCTGTGCGCATCCCAGTTGTCGGTGGCCACTCGGGAGAGACTATTGTTCCCCTCTTCAGCAAGGCAGCCCCCGCTTTCCAGATCCCCGCAGACAAGTACGATGCGCTCGTCAACCGTAAGTGAACTGCGCAGACTCTTAGCGATTGAAATGTTTACTGAACTATATGCAGGCGTTCAGTTCGGTGGAGATGAGGTTGTCAAGGCCAAGGATGGTGCCGGCTCCGCGACCCTGTCTATGGCCTACGCTGGCTTCAGGTTTGAGTCCCTCATTTACAAACTTTTGGTGTCAGAGCTAACCTCATATTAAGATTCGCTCAGAGCGTTATCAAGGCTTCTCAAGGCCAGTCGGGTATCGTCGAGCCTACCTTTGTCTATCTGCCTGGTGTCACTGGCGGTGAAGAGATTTCCAAGGCCACCGGCTTGGAGTTCTTCTCTACCCTTGTAGAACTTGGCGTAAGTCATTCATTACGTCATATTTGAATATCGGACATCACTCTGACTAGAAAAAAACAGACCAACGGAGCTGAGAAGGCCATCAATGTTCTTGAGGGCGTGACCGAGCAGGAAAAGAAGCTCATTAAGACCTGCACCGAGGGCTTGAAGGGCAACATCGAAAAGGGTATCGAATTCGTCAAGAACCCTCCACCAAAGTAAACGCGCCCACCCCAGTCCCTGAGTCACAGGATTCCCAATCATCAATAGGTGATATGCCAATATCGCACCTCTTTACCACCGGGGTGATATCTTTCGGTGGTTGCATCACAAGTTCACGGACATGGAAGGAGCCCTGCTAATCATTGTTATCCTGGGGAGATAGGCTTTGAATATGTGCTCTGCAGACGAATGGGCGATGGTCGATGGATTGCTCTGACTCAGGATTTATGACTTCGAGATACGAGTGACCTGTTTAAATGATAAAACCTTGTATTCTTCATGCCCGCACTTGAATGTAGGATTACCCAGCAATTCGTTGGGGAGAACTGTAGCTCCAGCAGATATCCCTGGAGTGCTGCATGTGAGTGTCATCCAAGCCCTCCTATGACGAACGCATATCGTACAATTGGCGGTCTGAATGAGGTTCAAAGTCGCCTATGTCCGAACGCCTTCAGGGCTTGGGGTTGACGGTTTTGATTTGGAAGGTTGCGCCTGGAAGCTCTGTAGATTCCGCTTGAACAGTGGTTGTAATACCGAGGTTTGATAAAGCACCGCGAATAACGCCGCATGGAAACCATAAATACTATAATACACCGCAAGTCGTTAGATCATGTACGGCTGACCCTTGGGGAAAAATGTATATTTTGGGACAAACGTACCGCTTGAGCCATAGAAACCGCCTCGCTTCGCACAGATGTACTCATTCTTGCAAATGGTCGAAATGAGTTGTCAGTCAAGACATACACGCCCTGACAGTGCACATATTAGCCTCCCCAAAAAAACCAACCAGGGCACTTCAAAGGGATTTGAGAGCGCATTTGGTTCTGCCTACCCGGTGATTCGTTTTCAGGTTATCCACCTGCTTCTTAAATAGTATCGTCCACAAGTCCTTGCACAGAAACTTTATGACATCCAGGTTATCTGCGAATCGTGGGCGATCGCGGGAGAATCTGCTCCGGTGGACAACGGATACGCGTTAGCTGCGGGACTTCGATCAATAGCACACCTGCGAATCTGTCGGTGATCCTGTTTCACTGATGCGCACTCTTGCGGCAGATAGTTGCATAACTTGGACGACCGAAGAGACGTCTCAAACTCAAATCGCGGGGTTTCAAGCGTACCGTTCAGCCAACCCTTGTCCAACCCTGTAACCTAGAGATTCGAGGCGAAAGAATGTAGTTTCCCGGATTTCTTCATCATCTGGTAGCTTATCTTCTGAAGCAAGTTCCTTCGCTAAACGCTCCGCCATAGGGACGAGCTCTATCAGGAGGAAATCAAGGCATGAGGCACCCAGGAGCCGCGCGTGTGGATCTGAAGCATTGAGGGATGAAGCCGGTGCATCCAACGACATTGTAAAAGGTGTTACGGTGGCCACGTTTGTGGGGTAGCCTGATTATTGTAAGGTGGTCTGATGACTCGAATGAAGTGAACTCGGTGAATTTGTGATAGCAGATAACTGTTGTACCCTGTTGTTTTGCGGAGATTATGCGGCTCGGAGTAGGCCAGCCAAGCATGGTGACCGCCGACATATCGCAAGCTCCGACGGAGCGGCCCCTATCTACTTACGAAGTACCTTCCAGTCATGCCGACATGCCCCCTTACTCTGATGAATAAGCCGGCATAATGAGTGCTTTCCTTCTACAATGAAGCACTAGGGTCCAACGCAGCGGATTATTTACAACGGAGACTTTTATAAGAGACTTTTATAAGGACTCCGCTAATTACGTAGGTTCCCCGTAAGTGACGTTGTGAGACCGATAGATATGGCTTTTTTTTTGTTTTGTTTTTGGTGAAACGAAGATTGGATCTAAATGTTAGTTGGCCATCGAAGTTGAAAGAACATTGTTTCCCTATTATGCTTTGTCCAATGCTCCCAATAAATTCGCGTAGTGGATATACCCATGAAACCGAATGCGCCCAACACCATGCAAGTATGCTTCAATAACTGCGTGCATCATAACCACCGGCATGACTAAGAAAATCAGAACTAGGCTGGCTGGGTAGTTGGATGTCTCCGTTAACATAGCCACCGCTGTAAGGGCTGCAAAAATCCTGCTGAGACGAGGGCCGGTTCATCTGATTAAACGCTGGCCGCTTTACAGGTCTGACCGGAGTGTCATCCTCCTCATCACTTCCTGTAAGGTCGATCACCTGGGCAGCATTACGCTTGTTTGTCGACAAATAAACTGCAGATGACGTTGCTGAGGGTTCTCGGGACTGAGTAGGTGTTTGGTGTACGTAAAGAGATGTAGGTGGGAATGACTCTCGCTTGATTGGCGTAACCCCGGGTTCCCTTATTTCAATCAACTCGTCGTCATCATCTGTCGCCGGAGTAAATCCGCCCACTTTGGCAGAGTCTTCCTGGTTGGGGCTAGACCATTGACCATCTGGCTCTATGATAACTTGTTCGACATCTAGAGATGTTGAACGAAGTATATCATCGACGTACCTATGTAATAGAATGTCACTAACTGCACAAAGATTTTGAGTCAAGAGATTCTGCCTTACTGGTCAATCTGCAGCGATTCAAAACTCGTCGCTTTAGAACAGACAGGACACGACCAAGTTGGGGCCTGTTCCTGGAGTTGCAAAAATGAGGATGCGTCAAAACATTGATTGTGCGTGCAAATTACAGAACGACAGGGAACCTCTATTCGGAGTGTTGATAAAGGGCACTTGAGCGACATAACACTGGATGTGGCGACAATATCTGAATCCCCAGCTTTATTCCTCACTGTAGAGCATTAGCAATGACCCCGTCAATGATAGTTCCGGGCGCGTACTTTCTCGCAAGACCTGCTCCTTCGAAATTGTCTTCCTCCGTTTCAATTCGGCAACAAGCTCTTCGACCGGATGTCGCTGGACAAGGTTGACCAGAACAAAAAAGCGCTAAACTCTGTTAGCTAAGCTTCTTTTGGTAGAGCCCCAAGTTAAAGTCCAGCGAGTATCATGCTGTGAAGGTGTGAACGGGGGTCCTATACTTGCCTTTTGCGTAAGGGCGTATGTCATGACAATATTATTCGGGTAGCCTGGTTTCTTGCGAATATATTGTGTTACATCTGCTGGCCTTGTTGTACCGGGCTTATTTTTCAAGCCCCTTAGGTTGGCTTTCACTTCATCCAGGTTGGCCTTTAGTTCAACTTGGTGCGGAAATGCGATGTCGGATTTGGTATACTGATTAAGACCCGTGTCTGCAGCACAATACACCATCACCCGAATATTGGGGTCCGCCTGTAGCCTAGTCGCCACGGTTGGTGTAAGAATAACTTTGAGTTCCACGCTGTCCCTAGTTTGTTCCCGTACTGGAAGAATTATTAGATGTGAACCGTCACTGAAATAGGAATAGACTGCCGGTGTCCCACCTTTGCATTCCGAGGCAGAAGTCAACGGCTCTATGACGGTATAGAATGGGCTGTCTTTGAAAGTTAAACGACCTGTATGAGAGTGAGAAACCATCCCGGCCGCAGAGCAAACGAACATATAAGTGGGTACCAGATGTGTGTCCATGCGATGGCATTGGTATGCTCAAAGGTGATGGTCTATGCTGCGTGAGCAAAGGTTGATTGACGGTTTGTGGTTGATAGTGTTGGCTGGAGACTGCTTGCGTGGTTGGAGACGTAGGCATTGGCCGACGTGCCGTGGCATAGATGAATTTCCTCAAGTCATCGTACTGTTCAACATGGCCTCCTTGGTTGAGTCTCTCAATGTCTATTGTGTTTCAAGAATAGTTAACGACTTCGCAAATATTATCTTTGGACGAGGCCTAGAAAATATAAGCCTTATAAAACAAGGTATAACTAACAGTCAATGATCCGTAGCTGCAATGAAGCTTTCACTCCTGAGACAGCAAGCCCTTCGTTCCTGAGGATATCCTTGAGCTGCGCGTTGGTCAATGTCTTGACTAGGGCAACAAGGGTTTGTGTATCTGGTAATTGACCAGTAGAGGCCATGGCTAGGGTTTAAAAAGAAGGCTAGCCAGTGACTATATGAGCATGCAGGCGTTATCTCAGGAAGAAAGATGGCTCAAGACAGTTGCGCTATGCTCAACAACGCTGTTCAGAGACATCTCAATACTCCAGGAAGTTAAACAGACGGAGACGGGGGGACGTGGTTGCTCAAGTCCTTGACGAGGTATTTGAGGCCGTCAAAAGTTAACAAGAAAAGGCACTGAGTGAGCTAGATGCCAATGACAACCTATACGATCGACCAGGCCGGCGGCGATTGCGGAGGTGAGAAGAGCCTCTCAATGTGATGACATAAGATTATCCACCGCGCTTATGTTACGAAGTCCCCTCCCAAAGAAAAAAAAAGTGGTGGAACAAAAAAAAAAAGGCAAACCGGCAAATAGAGGCGGCGAATTTTGCAAAAACTTTGCACTACACACACTTGATCTCTGGATGAAGATTCCAGATCTTACATAGTATCGATCATTAATACCGCTACATTTGCTTTTTACAAATTTTACCTTACCCATAAAACTCGTTGGCCATTCCGGTTCTGTTGACGAGCACTATGGCAAAGAGCGTCCGGGCGAGTGTTACCAAGCGCAATAGAGCTAAACTCCGAGCCACAGTCTTTGGGCCAGCTGTCGATGCAAGGACCGAAAGACTTTCTGCGAAGCTGCAAGAGCTAGCTTCTCAGCCTCGGCCGAACGAGGAGAAGTCAAGCATGGAACTGGATGATGCAACCACAAGTATGTGAAAGTTCCCCGAGATATTCCAACTACAGCTGACGTGTTATGTGCAACTTAGACAACAACAGTGACAAAAAAGCTAGCAACGTATTGAATTCCACTGGAGGTAAGCTAGGTGCAATTGGGTTTTTGCGTTTTTGTTATTGTTTCTGCCAATCATTTTATGCCAGCTCCCCCTGCTAACCTAGCTCTGTCACAGATATGGATATCGATCAAGGAACTGCTAAGGGTGGCCATGCTCACACCAGGAAGTCGGGACGAATTCAGAAACGTCATAAGAAAGCCCGCTCGTCCATCGTTTTCCGTCCTCATCCATCAAAGGTCAAAGGAAATACGAAGAGACGGTGAAACGCGTGGCATGTTTTGCTTCATTTGTGGTGAAATAGTCGGGCCTTTGTTCAATTATGGAGTTTGGCGTTCTGTGGGAGAGATGGCCATATAACTACCACTGTCTTGGTTGTTTTTGCTTCCCTGTGGCATTTTAGGAAAGGAGCAGAAAACCGGACCGAAGTCGAGCGATAGCATCTGTGGATGCTTTCACGCATCTAATCCCCTGTATTTCAGCCGTAGAAAGTTTATATGAACATGGATCTTAGCTTCGTCAAGGCCGATTAGTATATGGCTACCATTCATCTATAAGCGGATGCTCAAGACTTCTGCTCAAGACCTCAAGGAAACATCCTCTGCCATGCACGAGCGTAATACAAAACTTGTTTGCCAAAGCTGCAAAGCATCAGCAGATGCAGTGTTAGAACAAAGGAGCGTGGCTTCAGTAATGCTCGTGAGATACCCACTATGAAGTGCTATCTAGATGCCTGATAATAACCCCACAAGTCCCAATCTAGTAGGCGGTATATGGTATCAATATAGACGACTGCCCCCTTGGACGACGGCAGTTACTACTAGTAATCATAGCATAAACCGAATGCCGCACCTCACATGAAGTGGTGGCCTCGGATGTCTGGTTTCGAGTTGTCGCAGGCTATTCATAGGACAATAGACACTCAATGGCCATCCTACCACGAAGTTGGGCGGTAATCATCGCCAATGTATTAACCCCCTTAGCAGTCTTAGTATTTTCGTCTGGATTTTTCCCTTATAAGCCATTGATACCAGGGCTTGCAAAAATCGAAGATGGCGGCAACTACACTGCAACTCCAAAGGCTTTTGACAAGGTCATTTTCATGGTTGTCGATGCTCTAAGGAGGTATGAATGTTTCGAAGTGCTCCCGGCTTTTCGTGCCTCCAGCTGAATTTACTCAGTGACTTTGTCTACTCTAATAATTCCGGGTTTCTATTTACCCAAAGGTCAGCAATAGTAAATCTCAAACAAGGTGCTGTCCGTCTAACCTATGTTCCTATAGCCTGATTCGATCAGGAGCTGCACTGCCATTCACTGCCTATGCTAGTTCTCCAACTGTTACAATGCCTCGTCTCAAGGCAATAACAACTGGCTCAAAACCATCTTTTCTGGATGTAATCCTGAATATTGCCGAGTCCGATACTTCATCGACTCTAGCATATCAAGATACTTGGTTGGCACAGTTGAAGGCAAACGGAGGCCAGCTTGTCATGTATGGTGATGACACTTGGCTCAAACTCTTTCCCGGGATGTTCGAAAGAGCAGACGGTACTACGAGTTTCTTTGTATCGGTCAGTAGATGCCAACGGTCGGATTGGTGCATCCAATGGGAGAGCTAAGCTAGTTCGCGCAGGACTTCATCGAAGTGGACAATAATGTAACTCGTCACGTCTCTACTGAGCTTTCCCGTGACGACTGGTCAGCATTCATCATGCATTACCTTGGATTAGATCACATTGGGCATAAAGCCGGTCCTCAGAGGTAAGGGACCAGCCAGCCTTTGGCTTCGGGGAGGGCTAACAAGTACTACATAGCCCTTACATGACAACAAAGCAACAGGAGATGGACTCCATTGTCGCCAATATATATACCAGCATGGAGCAGCAACAACATTTGCAGTCCACTCTTTTTGTCTTATGTGGTGACCATGGGATGAACGATGCCGGAAATCATGGCGGTTCATCCGTGGGTGAGACATCGCCCGCATTGCTCTTCATTTCTCCTAAGTTTCAAGCCTTGGATATCCTCAGACAGTCTCCGACAGACTCGCACAGCGACTTCCAATATTACCGAACCGTTGAGCAAACAGACATAACTCCAACTTTGGCAGGGCTCTTAGGCTTACCGATACCATTGAATAGTCTGGGTGTATTTATCCCAGAACTTCTCGACTTGTGGGAAACGAGTATGTGCACACCTTCCTTGCTAGTGCGCGCAAAATGTCAAGCATACTTATAAATAGCCGGCTCAGGATCGCAAAGAATTGACGTGTTACTCTCAAATTCCCGACAGATCTTGAGAAAGATGAAGGAGACGTTTCCTAACCACAGTTTCGATATCAACTCGATGAATATCGCCTGCGATACCGGGCCTTTAGCCGGCATTGATCTGGCGCTCTGTGCATGGTTTCGGGTCAATATCTTGCTTCAAAACTCCGGCGGAGCCGACAAAAATGATCTTTATTCCGAGCTTGAGTCTGCCCTGTTTGAGTTCTTGAAACATGCACAGAAGGTAATTAGTAGCGCAGCTAGCGACTACGATCTCAGAAATCTTCTTCTGGGCTTAGCCATCACTTCTTTTGTTGTCCTGCTTCCTCTCCCTACGATTTATACTCTGCTCTGTAGGTCTTGGTGTGCTGGGGCATTCTTTGCACTGTGTATCCTGAGCTACGGTGGCATGATGTTCGCTAGTAGCTATGTTGAGGAAGAGCAACAATTTTGGAATTGGATGTTTACTGCATGGGTATTTTGCCTACATGTAAGATCATCCATTCTTCCACGTTGCTCCATGCCCTCCCAGGAGAGGAATACAAGATTCTATCGCCTATATGAGTTGTGTTGTTCCAACTTTGGTGCGTTGGCGCTGCTGCTATCACATAGGGTTCTGAGGCGCTGGAACCAAACTGGTCAGAAATATGCTACTGAACCAGACATCGCTCGGACATTTTTCCCTTCCCATCGGCTAATACTCTGGTTTCTCGTTATCTTAACATATGCCAACACTTGTAGGCATCTCTTAGCCCACCGTCTGTCAAAGCTTTGGCAGCTATATTGTGTCGCAATGGCATTGAGCGCATTTTTGTTGAAGCTGTTATATGTGGCATCAGATTCCCCTGAACTTCTCCCTGAAGCTTTGCTTGTCCTTTGGGAGAGGGGGGTCGATGGAGGGTCTACTGTCCTCTTTACGCGGCTGGTCGTAGTCGGGATTCTGTTTCTCGTTCCATTCTCGATGTGTATCAGAAACACCCCGCAACTGCGTGAGACGAGAGGCAAGTCGAAATCAATCGCGCCTCGGATATCGGCTAACATATTACAGTGGTCCCGAGTACCGTCTTCCATGACGCCCTCACCCTTTTCTTGGTAACTCAATCAAGAGCTACGAACATTCCGATATTTCTAATACTCAGGGCCCATGCAAATATACTTGCTACGATGAATCTTTCTGCCCTCGAGCTAGCTATCACATCTTTGATCGCGCAGTATATGACCTTCTTCGCATTTGGAGGTTCGAATTCAATAGCCACAGTCGACCTTTCCAATGCATATAATGGCATCGGCACCTACAATGTCGTCTTGGTTGGGATCTTAACATTTATAAGTAATTGGGCAGGGTCAATATGGTGGGTATCAGCTGCTCAGGTTCTCCGGCTAAGTCAGGCTAGGCATGATAGAGAGAGTCACATGGCTCTTCTCACATTCCACATGGCAGCCACATTAATGTCGGTTATGGCTGCATGCACGATCCTGAGGTCGCATCTTTTCATCTGGACGGTCTTCTCTCCCAAGTACCTCTATGCAATGGCGTGGGCCATCCTCAACCACTTGGCCGTTAACTTGCTTGGCGAGGTCTTGCATGTAATATCATCCAAACTGGCGAACCATTTAGCAGTGGGGTTGTTATAGTATGAAAGCAGACGGAAGGATTCTACTGAGCCGAAGCCGAAAGATAGGAAAACTGCATATATAGGTTATGCTCTTTAGGATGTATATCTACTAGCTACCGTTCAAGGCATGTCAGCGAGACCCGCTATTTGCACCTATAGAAGGCTATCAAATAGATCATCGATGGCATCCTTTTTCCGCTTCTTCTTTCGCATGCTTTTCTTTTTTGAGCCTACTGTGCTTTCCGGAGCCTTTAGAGACACCTCATCATGGGCTCGACGTGAAACCTCCGGAACTTGAGTCTCAGATAGCAGCGTTGGTGTTGAAGAGCCTTCAGGGCGGCAGAGGATGACTCCCATATCCTCTCTTCGTTGCGCATCGATGCCATAGATGGGGCCAGTAGAAGCCTTTTCTGTTTGTGATGACAATCTCAGCTCCTTATCGATCCCTGTGGCTTTTGCCAAACGGGCAAGGGTGGCAATCAAGACTGTCCCCAGAGTAGAAAACTGTCCATCGGCAACAACTGCGGAGAATGCTCTGGATATTAAATCAGCAAGTATCCTCGGCGATGTCGCATGAAGCGAGGTTATTTAAATTTCGTCTGTTAATCGTTCTCCTAACTTACTGATAGCACTTCGGCATAAGATATGTCACCAAATGATGTCTATGTTGATCAGCAGGAGACTTATCACTGCCAAATGGCTGCCGACTGTCGAGAGATCTGGCGAACTTCAAGGTAACTCGTTTCAGGATCGCCAACCATTTCCACCACTTAGTCCCTCGATGTTGATTTTTATTTCGATGAAATATCAAATGAAGTATAGAATGCACCGCATAAATTCTATCCACATCAATATTCATCCTCTGCCGCAACAACGAGAAGAGTTAATAATTAGCCTGGACGTGAGTTGGACGGTCCTGTGTTGTGTCAAACGGGGTTTTTGTTGCACAAGGAGAGGAAAACGCAACAAGTAAATGTAGCGCTCTGAATTGTGTAATAATAGACTTTGGTCTCAGAGCCTACTTGATTGTGCAGACTTCCCGAACCGTGGGTTAAGAGTGGTGAATTTGAACGACGATGGATATCGAAATATATGAGAGTAGCCGCCGCTAGGGATTAAATTACTTAGTCTTTGAAACCTTGCCGAGAGTCGACAGGTCTAGCTCCTTCGGGGAGAATACCCGAGTACCGACCTCCTAGTCTATGTAGCAGCATTCAAATGTACTCCATTATCCCCGCTTCACCTATAGCGCCCCTGGATTACAGTGACCTCGTGTGAGGCCTAGAACGCAATTTTCACCGCCACATCGGGAAAACGAGAAGGCCATGCAACGAAGATGATTTGATTCTTCTGGATGTATTTGAAATCACAGATTACCAAACATCTGAAGGATCAATGAACAGTAGGAGCAGGGCACCGAAATCTCACAGAGAAAGGGTTCCAACATTTAGACACAATTCGAGACACCGTACCAAGCCAACCAGGGCCATGAGGTTTTCTCCCATGGGTCAAATGCTGGCCGTCGCTCCAATCGAGCGCTGGTATTCGACATAAGTAGAACAAACAAGCTGAAAACATAAACGGGGAAGATCTAACTTGAAAGGGTGGGATAGCGATTGGTAGGAGTTGACTTTTACCAGTACGCTTTCCGGGGTCGCAAGCGTAGGCACGGCTATGTAGGCAATTTTCCTTGGTTTTTTCCCTAGATTAGATGAGAGTCCAGCTGGCCAGTAAGCAGCCCTTGAGAATGGTGAGTTGAAAGGCTTAGGGTCCGCTTTCGTGCACTGATTCATGCCACATCTTCATACCAGGATAAGTACAGGGGCCACTCCTGAGACCATTACCGACACCGTAGGGACGTCTTGGTGCGAATGTTCGGACATATACTACTTCGCGCTCGGCTGCAGTGGTTCCACGATCGAATTGAGAACGGCGACGGCGCTGCTCGTCACGGTACTGCTGACCGACGCGCGGAGCAAATAGTCCTAGAGATGCTGATGAGTGTAGTTCTTCCAAGGCACGCAGATATGTGCTCTTACCAACATGTTCCGCATTCTCAATGCTGCGACGCATTTTGGAAGGGTTGTCTGGTCCAGGAAAGCGATCCTCGGTCCCAGCAAGAGGGCCTGTGCCGGTCTGGAAAATCTGCGAGAATAAGCTTCATCTCCAAATTTACGTCGACTGGATGGCAGGGATGATATGAACCTTTGGTCGAAATGATGGATGTTCCAGCATGACGGAACTATTACGGAACTTTTGCACCAAGCAATCTTTTCCTTGTATAGCTGACCTGTGGTTTTAGATAATCCATAGTCTGCTAGGGATAAGCGAGTACGAACTTGCATAAGACACTTCAGCCACCTTGTCACTGTTGAAACAATTCCTGTACATGCGTTAAAAAAATGGACATGTGGTATTTCCTTCAGGCTCGGCATACCAGGTTCGTCCCGCTCTTGCGTTGATAAACTACATGGAATTAGTGGTTTCGATGAAGAGAACCAGGACGATACTAACATCAATGATATCAATCGGCTAATGATCTGTCAGTAGTGGCTGCCGGGGTCGGTGAGATAAACTCACATCTTCGAAATTTATAAAGGCGTACCCGACGCTGGCAGAGACAATGTCAGATACTGAAAATGGCGGCGTTCCATATATTGGCAGTCATACTTGCAGTTATTTGCGAAATCTGCAGGGATGGCATGGGGGTTAGTCGGTTCAAATCGACCTGTTTGAGCTGGGATATCAACTCACCTATCCGTAAGTACATAAAGTCATATTTTCCATGGCTTGTCTCATCCACAATAGCTTTGAGCATAGCCTTCTCTTATTAGAATTTCCAAGTCTGCATATTGACAACAGTATCTTTCCAATGGAGTTTTGCTCACCTGGTCGATTTTATTAGGGATGTTGCGGAGCATAATCTGTGAATGAAGGCGCATGTCAGTTAGCAAACTAGGGAGCATGAGCCGGTGATAATACCGTCGTTCTGACATCCAAGCCGAGACGTATTCTCTCTATATCGACTGCATTTTGGCTGCCCATGCGTAAATCAGGATAGCGGCTAAGTTCGCGGCGAGGAGAGGGGAAGATCCTTTCACCAGCCTTAGACATCCAGTCTATGAGACTAGCATGTTCACCTGGGGGCACCGTGGAACGACCGGTAGGGCTTAATTCCATGAAGGAAGCACGACCCGGTCTAACTGAGGTCCACGATGTGGACTTTGTGAAAGAAGCCTCCTCGGCTGGAGGGAACTCCTCTCTTGAAGATGTTTCGGCCGTAAATGGCAGCTCGCACTTTCTCTCTTCTATATCTGGCCTGAAAAGAGAGATGTCTAGGATGCAATCCTTTAACGACTTTTATTAGCCACTTGGAAGGAGAGAAAATGGGTTGTCTGCGTACATCAACCGACGTCCCATTGAGGGTGGTCAAAACGTTCTCAGCATCACGCGTGTTGAAGTACTCAATATGAAATTCGCCAATATTTTCTTGCTCAGTTGGCAAGGATGTGAAAGACCTTAAGTCACCGAATGTCATAGAGAGGGTTTCAAGTGAGCGAGCAACAGTGTGCTGGTTGAGGTTGGGGTTTCTGCCGTCATAATAGACGGTGACAAGCAGCTGACCCTCGTAGTTAGAAGTCTGTGGCAGAAGAGAAGGCTCAACATGCTTGACATATTCTTTAGGGGCAATCGTAGAGATGTGCCATTCAGGCCTCAGGACTTTGACCTTTTCTATTGCCTTGGTCGCTTCCCGACTGTCCGTGAATGCGACATAGACCTTGCCCATGGAATTGAGTTCTGAAAGCACGGGGCCTCTGAGGGAGCTAAATTCACGACGCTGTCCAACATCAAAATCAGTAATGTAACTTTCTATTCACCGAGCTTGATCAGGGCAGGATATATATGTTTGTTCTTCCTCCTGAAATTGGCCACTTACATTGAAAAATCCAGCCAATGACATATAGGTAAGATTTTTCGGCACATTTTCAATAACCAGGGCTCGGCTATGGCTCTCGCTGCCGAATGTCTGGTAGTCCATGATATTCGGACGGTTCCTCGTATCAGCCTGACTATTGCCTATGACTCCATAATTCAGTGGGTATCTGTCCGGGGCCTGGAGAGGGCCATTCCTAGCTTCGCATGGATCAATGTCCGAGCTTGCTGTTAGATAGCCAACGCCGGAAAAGCCTCGAGACAGTGAAGGTGCCTTGCTCCTAGATAGAACGTTGTCTGCCGCGCCAATTGGTGTGAAGCTTGCTGCCGTTGGTGAAAGTTGAACACGGGTAGAAGTGTTCGTCGACACCAGAAAGGGGTCAGAGGACGAGCTGGTCTTGTCACTGACGGGTCTGAAACCAAGATAGACATCGTACACTTACGTCAGGTATAACTTTCGTTTGCCAATGTCGCCCAATGGATCACCAACATTGGAGTCAGAGCGAAGGCAGGTAGATCGCATATCCTCAGGCGAATATGCTGTAAGCTTGGTGTCAGGGGACCCATTGGCAGAGCCTATGTCATTAGTAGAAACAGGACTGCTCAAGCTGTGGGACGTATCGTTTGGCCTCATGCTGTGAGGATGTTGATAAAATCCAGTTGAATATAGGATATTTCTGTCTTATCGGGGGTGGTCTGTCTTGGAGAGCGAGCCCAGACTCACAGTCAGATGTGGATAAAAGCACCTTACAGCAAACAAACCCAGGAAAACGTGATATTGAAGTAGAGGCCTCGGCCGCCTAGAAGTCTGCCCGAAAAAGCAATCGAACAAGAGATAAACCCTCTGTCACGTCGAATATCGGAAGCAGAAGGAGAGTGGGATAAGACCAACAGAACACGTCTCAAGGGGAAGATGTGGAATAGCACGTCCCACAGAGCGAGATAAACCCCAATAGCATACCGCTTCTAGAGCCTGATTTTACACATACTGCGACGGGACTGGAACCACGAGCACCATCCCCAATCTAGGCGCCAAGGGTGGAGACTGAACAGTTCACCAATTTACACTCGGTTAATAACACAGGGAAATTGCCCCTTGTATATCTCATCTGTTGTAGAAATCACAAAATATGTGAAATTCTGGTAGGTACTCGGGAGATAGTCAAGATGCAGAGAACTTGTAGTGTCACCCCATTCGAGCTAAAGGGTTGTTAAAGTACTGTGTACAGTAAGAGGTTGAATTCCAGACTCATATAAACTGCCCTGATACCAATGCCCAAAGAAAGAACATGGGAGGAACCCCTCACTTGATCCCCTCGGTTGTGCAAGTGGCCCATGGTAAGATGTTTCAAGGGTTAATAATGAACCAGAGAAGGCTGGTGTCAAATTGCTACTTGATGTTCATACTTGAGAGGAACCCGAACACATCAGCAATCTTCCCTCACGGTTCATCCACCTCTTGATAGCTTGTTTTAAATGGGCTTGGAATACTCAGTATCCTGGCTTTGCAAATGACTCCAAGCCTCTTTTCAGCTCAAGAAAAAAAAATGCTAGTATCAGTGATACTTTTCTTGGAAGGTAAAAGGTAAACACAGAGCAGAGTAAGAAACGATAGCCGCCTTCAGGTCTATGCCAGCTGAACATACAGACTACTTCGAAGTCTTTATAGGAGAGAAAATTTGAAACTCTTGAAGTCTACTCGGTGGGAAATCTTAGGGGTTAAACAAACCAGGTATATGAGGAAGCGGACAAAATGATCCTTGGAGGACTGAAAATGGAGACAGTGAAACCCTAGCTGCTCTTAGCAGGTATGACTTTAGTCACTAGATAACTCAAATGCCTAAATTTGATATTCCTTAGAGATCATAGTTCATAGTAGTTCAATCAGAGTACCTTGTAGTAGTAAACTGAGTCTTGAGCGGCGAGCTTCACGCTTTCATTGGATATTGGACATAACTAAGTTTGGCTGTTTCCAAAACGGGCTAGAGCAATGTATGCCCGCGGCCCCATCTCGTGGAATCCCCGCAACGGCTGAGGAATCGGAAAGCTGGCAGGGAAACAATATTAAGAGTACAACTTATCACAAATCATGGGGGTTTCAGCATACTGTGTAACCTTACCCGCGCAAACCGAGTGACTCTTCTGTGTCCGCGAATAATTGACTCGCTTCTTGCAGTTCCTTTGAAGTCTTTACTGCCCCCTTTTTCGAGAATTTGACGCGCGTTTTGTCTTTGACAGTGAGCAAGTTGTCACGCCAGTCGATTGGTTTCTGTTATCTACCGCAGCCGACTCCCACATACAAACTCGTCGCAATGCCATCAGTGGCACCATCTCGCAATGAGTCTTCATACCTCCTGAATCAGGTACGCATGGGAAAAGGGTTTGTGCGACGGGCTACTAACTAATACTCATGACTTTCATAGCTTATCATATCTCCCTCAGACGCGGACTACCTCGACCAATTGATTCCTTCCATCAAAGAGTACAGCGTCGGCAACCGAACATCACAACTATCACAGACTTTGTCTAGATTTGCTAGTGACAAGGAGGCTGAGATAGAGACAATATGCAATACCAATCACCAGGAATTCGTAACATCAGTGAATCAACTTTTGCGCATCAGGGAAGGTACAGTCAGCCTGACTGCTGAAATATTGGACCTTAACCAATCGATACAAGCAAGCACCGAAAAGCTGGCTGAACAAAAGAGAGCTCTGGTAGAGTCACGGAGTCACCGACAGAACATCGATGAGACTTCTAGAGCTATACAGGACTGTCTCGAGGTGTTGCGTCTCGCGAATCAAGTTCATGATCTACTCGCTAAGAAGAATCATTATGCCGCACTGCGCGCTTTAGAAGAATTGCAAAATGTCCATCTTAAAGGGGTGACGCAGTATAAAATCGCGGACATGATTCAGCGCTCAGTCCCAACAACACAAAAAGCAATAGCTGAAGCTGTCATGTCTGACCTTAATACTTGGCTATACAGAATCCGAGAAATGTCGCAGTACCTCGGGGAGATCGCTTTATATCATACAGACTTGCGAAAGACCAGGCATAAGGAGCGGACAGAGATATCTCCATATCTTGGTCAATTCAAGCTCAATTCGGCAATTGAGCTGGTATCCGACGAGAGCGAAGAGTACGATCTTTTGCAAAACGAGGAACTTCAAGTGGACTTTACGCCTTTATTTGAATGCCTCCACATTCATCGATCATTAGGGCATATGGATAGATTTCGAGTTGAGTACGCTAATACTCGGCGTCGGCAGAAGGAACTTTTGCTACCAGCCTCCATTACTCTTGTTGATGAAGATGGGGCTAGTCTGCACAATCTTCTCGAAGAAATGGCAGGATTTGCCATTGTCGAGCGTTCTACAATGAAGAGGGTTCCGGACCTGAGGTCTTCTGTTGATGTGAGTTTGTTCTTTGAATGAACGGGTAGATTTGTTGGGCTGAACGAATTGGTGAAGGTCGATGAATTATGGGATTCTATGTGCCAAACAGCTGTGATCCTAATATCGGGGGCTCTCCATGAGGTTGACAATGCTGAGAGCCTACTGAAAATAAAAAATCTCATCGCATTGTTCATGCAAACAATGAATGTCTGTTGACCTCTGAGTCTGAATGTTGGCGAGACATACTAACTAATATGAAAATAGACATGGGACTTTCACGTCGGGGTGTTCGATGACTTTCTTTTGATTCTTTTCAGGAAATATGCCGACCTTCTCAAGAAAAGATTTAGTGACGATTTCCGAGAGGTATGTTTCCTTACAAATCGGTTCGGTTTCTCTATATTAAACCCCGTGAAGATAGTATCGACCGATGATTATATGCCTATGCCTATCCAGACAATCGAGGAATTTGACAAGGTACTGAATGTCAGTTGGTACAGCCCTGACAAACCAAGGGAGGAGCAAGTGTACGTTCCTACTGTCAACTTAAGACACTTAAATCAATCATTACTAACGATAGCGCAGGTTTCCGTGTGTCTTACCATTTTCCCAAATGTATCCCTTATGCTGCATCGACATCCGCAACTTTCTGAACCAGTTCTACTTTTTTGCCAATGACGATTTCTCTCACCCCAGTCTCATTGACGAAACCCTAAGGGATGTAAGTATGCTATATCACATATACCTTCACATTTCTTACCATTCTAGGCACTGGATGAACTCCTATCAGACAAAGTTTGCGACACCCTTGTCGAACGTCTTTCCTCACAATATCTGGGGCAGATTGTGCAGATTCTGATAAACCTAGAGCATTTTGAGCTTGCCTGTCGCGAACTCGAGCTGTTACTCGCTGCTGCTCGATCACAGAATGTCTCCGGTGACGTGGTCACTTTGACCGCTACCGAAAAGTTCAGAAGCAATAAGAAAGCGGCAGAGAAACGTATCTTTGAAGTAGTCAATTCCAAGATTGATGACCTCATAGAAACGGCTGAGTACGATTGGATGGCATCTGTCCCACCCGCAGAGCCTAGCAACTACATGCAAACACTAACACGCTTCTTGTCAAACATCATGAACTCGACGCTCCTCGGCTTACCGACAGAAATCAAAGAACTTATCTACTTCGACGCTCTCAGTCATGCCGCGAATATGATTCTTGTAAGTAGCGCCAAGCGATAAATCCACTGTATATCTGCTAACCTCCGTCAGGCACTCCCTCTCTCTCCGGAGGTGAAAAGGATCAACCCAAACGGTGTAATGGCTCTTGCAAAAGATGTCGAATACCTATCCCAATTTGTTGATGGTCTTGGTGTTCCCATACTCCGAGAAAACCTTGACGAGCTGCAACAGACTGTGCAATTGATGCAAGCAGATAACACTGACGAGTTCTATGATATATCTACGCGGAACAAGAAGTACGGTCGTGTGGACGCTATTCATGGTCCCGTCCTGTTAGAGAAGTGCGTTACCAACCACCATAGCCTGGATACTATTACTAACCAACAAGAAGGATCATACGTACCGTTCAAAGTCCTGTAAAAGCAGATAAATTCTCCACTCTCTCCTCGAGATTTGGCAAGAAGTCATGAATTGTGCTGACTACTTGGGCTACTTCATTTCTATGTACCATCGAGCAAGTGCACCAATTTTATTCAGGAAGAACGTGTTGAAAGATATGTGGGTATGAGATCTGCTTCACGATAACTCCGTAACATTTGCAACGCATAGCTGTTGCTACACAGTACATAGCTGGTCACTTCCTTGACCGGGTAGCGGATACGATGGCATGGTGCCGTTGTACTTATAATTCTCGTGTGCCGCTCAGGCTGTGCCTACTTTTGAGTGCCATCATCACTCACTTATTGGTGTCCAGTGCATTAGTCAAGGTTAAGCCAATGTAGATAACAGCTAAAACAATAGGAAAAGGAAAGAGATGAGAAAGGAGGTGTTGTTCTCGTGATAATATTAACATACCTGCTGAGGTGGCAGATGCGGATATGCTGCATACATTCCTTCGAACATTTGAGGCTGATGCTGACCATAGGCAGCCGTGGGGTCAGACTGCACAGCTCCAGCATACATCGTCGGCGGCCGATACTCTTGATCTTGGAGCCCATGCTGACCCAGGGTACTATAGTCCGGCGGAGGCATGTGATGGGGAACACCGTGTTGAGATGGTGGCAGTTGGCCGGTGGCTCCTGCGGGGCCAGGAACGCCTGCAGAAGCTCCAGCTGTCTGGCTAGACCTCTTCGCATGGGACGTGGCCTCCTCGCGAGGTACTATGTCAATGAGGAAATCGAACATATCAGACTTTGATAGTGCTGCTGCAATATCAGACCTCTGTAGTGTACGGCGCTTGTTGTCCTCGGCATGAATCCATGCACGCATGGTCAGTTCAGTGATAAAGATATCACAGCCTTTGGCAAAAAGTATTGGTGCCTCCGCTGATATCATTTTAACCTCTGGGTCAGCCTTCATGACCTTTTTGATGCGAGCAAGTGGTAGCTGGTGTATCTTATAATCATGGTTGTCCGATTCTAGATGATTGATGATGTGCTGCCAGTATGTTGTAAGTATATCACGGGCGGTTCCTTGCAAGCCTTGGTTGACCTGGCGGAATGTCAGTCATGCTATATTCTCTACCAATGTAGAAAACTCACATTCGCCCATGTCCCGGTATAGAGCTCGGCAACAGGCGCATAGCCTTGCGCAGAAAGCTAGACGTATATAGCATGTTAGCCTTAAGAACGTAGGCGTACTCGTAAGCTTCTGAAGGCGACCATACCGCTGCGCTAGCACCTAAGGACATGCCATCAGCCTTGAGCGTGAATTTTCACGTGTATATGTGTATGTAGACATGAACACGCGTAGGGGATTTTGAGGAATACTTACCATAATGCCCACCATTTCGGGTGTCGTACACAGGCTGCTGCCTGCCCTGCTGTGTTCCAGGGGTTTGTGCAGTTTGCTCCATGATTAAATGACTAGCCCAGCCACTTGTGATTAGATATAAGACGTGCGCAACAGTACTGTCACAGACTCGTCTGGCAAATGATGAAAAGGCGATCTCAACAGGCGCGATAGCGGGGTGTTGGGACGCGACAGACTAGACAGAAGCAAGCCAGCTGGTTTACCAAGAGGGTTAAGGGGTCGAAGTCTTAAAGTAAAGTGACCTAGTGAGCTTTATGAAGTAGCAGATCGATAATGGAGATAGAAAGCGCCAAACAGATGATTGTGCTTCGATGCCTTTGTATGTAGGTAGCGTGCAACCATGGCAAAGACGCGGCGCCAAGCGTAGCGCAGCCCGAGTGACGCTAGCAGAAGCCTCTTGGCATTCAGACCCTGCGGAGGTCGATGACAACCCACACTTTCTACTCTGAACATAGTAGTACTCCGGGTGCTAGATATAGGAGATCCATGATTTCGTTCCTTTCTTTTCCAGTGAGCTTGGATAGTTTTGAATTATGTGTCAAATTTCACAATCTGGCTCTTAAGTTCCAGCCAGCATTACGACACTTAAGTCAATGCATTGATTTTTGAGAACACAATTTGATACTTATACATCGGGCTGATCGCTTACAATATCCGGACAGTGTACAAATAACCTAACTGTACAGTCACTAGAAAATGGCATGACTTTATGAGATCATGACGCTCGTATGCCACATTGGTGCTCTGCACTCAAATGTTATACAAAGCAACTGGACCGAGCGACACTAGCTCTAAATAGTCAGGACCTTGCAATATGGGCTATACACTAGCATCCATACTCAACCAACCATTGACATGCAATCATCACTATGTAGTAACATGATGGATAAGTACTACATTTGATTTCCGACACCTTGAAGTGGACTGTTAGATGGCTGTAGCAGCTCGGAAGAATTTCACTCGACCGCCGGAAAGTGGCAAGTTACAGAATAGATGTGACAAATTGTATATACACGCACAGTTTGAAGAATATTATCGGCGCTTCTTGTGCATGCAGAGCCAGTTGGTTTGTTACATTAGCGGTCAGCAAGACAATTACTACTGATACCAAAGCAGTTCCAAAACGAGACTATAGGGCAGGAATAATAATAACCCGGTATTGCAGGCATATCTCCACATAGGTACTAGTTGCCAAGGGGTTAGTTAAGGTGAGGTTCCGCCCCACAGCACAAATTTTCCATCGAGCTTGCCATTGAACTTCTTCCACAGGAAAGTAGCCCTGAATTTACGCTATAAATACCTACCTTGTGGGCTTCCACTTTCTGGTCTTCCTTTTACCTTAACTTGTGCACACCCGAGTTACCTGAATCCTCTACTATAGGACATGACAGGTGCAACATGCATTGAACTTACCAGTGTCCCACCACAGGATGAGGTCAGGTTAAATGATGAAGATATTGAACAGTTGCTTTGCGAGGCTGAGGATCGCTTGAGGCCCAGTGATGCTAGGGTCAATGCTTCCAATGCCGATAGCTTGACCAATGTGGGTTTGGAAGCAACCTCAGTTCAGTATGTGTACCCGTCAAAATTTGTACGCCTTCGAAAGCTAATTTGTTGTTGCTTAGTATCCCTAAGTTGGCCCCAGGAGGCTCCCTAAGGCCATATGTCCGTCAACAAGATGATGTTGCAGTTGTGGATGATGCCATCGGAGCAATGAATAGCCCCAGCGTCAGATCGCCACTCGAGATGCGACCGACTGGATCTAAATCAAAGCCAAGTTCCAAGGTGAGACGCGTTACTTCCCCTTGAACACCTTTGTTGTGTCGTTTGTCACGGATGCTATGAGGAAAATTAATCCCATCGCGTAAGCGCTTGATGCAGCTAAACATCCCGTACTGGGATGCGCTGTGCCTATGAGAGTACACATTTTTGTTTCATAGTTACTCTGAGCATCATCCCCATCATTACTATCCTGCTATTTTGCCTATATGGGTGACGATAGCTAACTTGTCTTCTTTTCAGGACAAACCCACAGCTGGCAGCGCTTGGTTCAACCTTCCAAAGACGGAGTTGACCACAGAACTCAAGAGAGACCTGCAGTTGCTTCGAATGCGCTCAGTATTAGATCCAAAGAGGCATTACAAGAAGGAGGGCGGCAAAGCACGCCCTCCTCAGTATTCTCAAGTGGGAACCATCATCGAAGGTCCGACTGAGTTTTTCAGTAGCCGCATCGCTAAAAGGGATAGAAAGAAGACTTTCGTTGAGGAAGCACTGGCAGCGGAGCAAGGAAACAAGCGATTTGAGGCTAAGTACAAGGACATCCAGTCTCTCAAGCAGAGCGGCAAACGTTCCTACTACAACAATTTGCGAGCGAAACGGAACACGAGGAGCAAGTGAATGAATTGGCTTCTGTTCAGACAGTCATAATGACCAGTCTCTGGACAAAAGAAACCTAATTTGAAGTCTCTGACATTGCCGGAGCGTCTAGTTGTGCCCCAGTGCTCAAATAGTCCTCCCCATCCGCGCTGACTCACTGACCACCGATCGTACCTCCATACGAGCCTGACTGAAAGACATCCGCGATGGTTTGTATAACAAGCTTCTTGAATTGATAGTTACTATCAGTGCGCGAAAACTGGAGGGGGTCATGCGGTGCATACCTGCATGTCCGTGGCAGCGGAGCGGCCTGCCTCAAGGACTTCCTGATGGTCCGCTTTTCCTTCTTGCAAAATCTCACCGAGCTCTGCTACATCTTTCCCATCAAGACGGTGGTCGTCTCCGCGAGGCACTGGTGAGAGAACCGCGTTATTCGTTACCAGGCTCAAAGCTAGGACTCTAATCCCGCAATGCCTGGCAACAACAATCTCCGGTACGGTCGACATCCCGACAAGATCGGCGCCTAGCTGGCGAAGCATGCGGCATTCTGCTCGGGTCTCATAACTGAATTCTTCAGAATTCTGGTCATTAGCTCATCAAGATGGACAAAGCTTACCTTGGACCCCCGACGAAGGCATACACTCCCTCATGCAGTCTTCTTTTGCTTTCTACATTTACTATCTTGGCCCATGCTTTGTGGACGTTACAACGCAATTGAAGGTCGTACGCATCTGATAGAGGTGGAAACCGGGGGCCAAACTCCTCCGAGTTCGGACCGCGTAGTGGATGAACCCCCGCCAGGCCAGCCAAGAATATGTGCTAGAATTGAATGTGTTAAGCCTGTGCTTGGATGCTGGCAAGTAGTGATAGACTTACATCATTCAGCAGAACAATATCTCCTACCATATATTCAGGATTCAGTCCCCCGGCGGCGTTGGTTACTATAAACCAGTAAACTATCAGTAGTACATCACTTGGGCTTCGACGAAGAAAGAGCATATAACTGACGGGTTATTGTGTCAACCCCCAAGAGTTTGAAGACACGTATAGGAAATGTCACTTGGTCAATGGAATGCCCTTCGTAATAACTTTTGGAAAGTTTTATTAGCAAGCTAAGTAAATAACCCCTTTTGATGGAGGAGCCTCACTGAGCACGGCCAACCATCAACACTGTAGGTATATTTTCACTGAGTAGTCCAAAGACTAGTTTTCCTGCATGGCCAGCAACTTGATAAATGAGCGTAAAGCGTCACGGCTTTCGAATTATGAGGACACGGCTACCTGTTGAACGGGGAAAGTGGGGTATGGAAGCATAATCGAAATCGACTTGAGGCAAGCGATCAATGGTACTTGCGAGCCCTCCCAAACCAGAGCCACAGATTATTGCAACTCGAGGTGCTTTCAATGAATCCGGTAGGCGTTCCTTCAGGAATGAGCATGCCTCACTCGCATGTTGAAATGATGAGCTGCGAGAGGATGCCATGATTGCTTGAAGTATGATTCTCGCTCCAATTTCACGATAGTAGTTGTGGTGGGTAAGTTGGTTGTCAAAAAGGGTACACCGGGGCCATAAAATATATCTACAGCGTTAGGATCAACTTGACTGTGCTCTTAATTCCCAAGAACGCACGATTTATCATCCACAACTAGTAGTAGTATCAGATGCCGATAAATAGTCATGTGATCGGATGAGCAAGCAAGGCGGTCAATTTTCGTGGCCAATCAAGGGTGGCCTTCCGCTCGCTATCCTTGGGGCCCTGATGGAAAAAAGATTGTAGGTATTCAAGTGAGTATGTACAAGGTCCCTGCAATACTACGGACCTAGGGATTTGGCGCATTGTTCTTTGTGTTCCATTTATTCAACTCTTCCAGACATTGATTTCAACCATGACATTATCCCTCAACCCTCGGCTACTTAAATGCACTGGCAGGCAGTTCCAGGTAATCTTTCGTCACCCCATCCTACCCTTTTAGCGAAACCATACCAACAGCTTTCAGTTACTAGCAGGTTTTAGAGGTTACAGCACTTCCTCTGGGATAACCCATCATGCACCGTCAACGAACGATACTCTCCACCCAGCAGGCTCAGCTGAATCCAGTGCACTGTTAGCGCTCTCACGACCACCTTGAACAACTTCGAAGAGCTGACTTGTGTGTTCGTACAGGAACTCGACCGAGACGCAAACGAAACAATGGTCTGAACTTTGATTCATATCTCCAATAAATTGCTCTCGATGACATGCGCTCACTCATGATTAGGAGAGAACGCCTTGAGAGCATTAATGATAAGGCTCGACTTCCCAGGAGCGTTCAAGCTGTGTACCTACGACCCCTCCGGAGGAAGGCCGAATTTGGCCTGCCAGTTTGTGATCTTCAGTTGAGATCTTACAGCGTACGGAACGTCGAATTTTTCGCCGATTTTGCTGTGCGGGCGGCTTATTATCTGAACCTCCCTGTCTCGGGGCCGGTGCCCCTGCCACGAATTGTTGAGCGATGGACCGTTCCTAGAAGTAACTTCGTGCATAAAAAGAGTCAGGAGAATTTCGAAAGGATTACGCTCCGACGCTTGGTACAAATCAAAGACGGCAACCCTCAGGTTGTACAGACATGGCTAGCATTCTTGCGCAAGCATGCTTTCTACGGAGTCGGCATGAAAGCAAATGTTTGGGAACATGAAAGCCTTGGTATATTGCAATTCTTACCTTGCTTTGTCTTCGATTTTGTTCGCCACGTCACTAACTATATCGTGGTCACAGACGTAGCTGCAAACTTGGACAGCACTCTTCCAGAAGTCGAGAAGTCGCTTCAGCCTTACCTTTCACAATTTGGTCATCGGCAAGATGCAACATCTTGTGACTCGATTTCGGATATCCTGGACAACGAACGATTCGTTGCATACAAGGGCCCCTTAACTACAGCACGCAAGGCATAAGCACCATGTCATCCAATACTCTGTATAATATCACATAGTTGTCATCATCTTGTACGAATTTGCCAATTCCCACAGTCCCACTTCTTATAATAGCTTTGTCTATAAGCCTTCCATAATGAGTTCTTGCTAGGGAAAGGCAGATGTATTGGTGTCATGTCTTTTGTTGCGGCTTATACGTGCTTTATGAGATTCATTGAGTAGCCACTAGACAATCTTATTCAACAGCTGGGCCAACTAGTAGTCTAGTTAATCACGTGACTGAAATTGTGCAAAGCACGAAACAACCTCGGACATATACCTCCTTGGGACGGGCTTCCATGTGATGAAAAGAACAGCCATGCATGTTAACATATGTCGGTATAGCCGCATCCTGACAATAGCTCATCGGCCTAGTTCGATTCAGCCCCAACTGGAGGTTGTGAGTCGGAAGCCGAGTAGTTTCAGCTTCCGAAGATGGAGTAGTTGCCAAACTCCACGCTCACCACGTTTTGCTAAAACGATCTTCTCCGGGATTCAACCCACAGGTGTACCGCATTTAGGGAATTACCTGGGTGCCCTAAGAGAATGGGTAAAGCTACAAGATGACGCGAGTGATGGGACGAGTTTGTACTTCTCCATAGTTGACCTGCATGCATTGACAGTACCCCAAGAAAGCGCCCAGCTGAGACAGTGGAGAAAAGAGGCACTTGCTACTCTAGTAGCTGCTGGCCTTGACCCCGATCGCTCAACCATATTCTACCAAAGTTCTGTATGTGATTAATTGGCTTTAACAGAGTCTTGCGCTAAACAGTACTAGGTAGCAGCGCATGCGGAATTGTTCTGGATCCTGTGCACAGTAGCCTCCATGGGATACCTGTCACGAATGACTCAGTGGAAGGTAAGCACACATGACAATGAAAATATTACAGAAAGTGTTGGGGATCTTCTGAGGAGGTTAAAGCCTTAGCATTGACACGGATTAGAGCAAACTCCAATTGCCTGAAGACACAAATCTAGATACTTCAGAGGCCAGGTCAAGGCTGCGACTCGGCCTTTTCTCGTATCCTGTTCTCCAAGCGGCGGACATACTAGTACACAGGTTCGTTATCACGACATTTAGTTTGATCACACACTAACGCAACCCAGAGCTACACATGTTCCCGTCGGAGAGGACCAGAAACAGCACCTTGAGTTTTCCAGAAACATAGCAAACAGCTTCAACCACGTCTATGGCACAGTGTTTCCAGCCCCAGAGTCACTTATATGTGTGTCCTTTTTATGATGGTTTCATTGCATGCGGTAGAGAATATTGACTAACTTCAATTTCATCTATTAGCACCTGCAAAACGAGTCATGTCTCTCAAAGAGCCAACATTGAAGATGTCGAAATCTCATGTAGACGAACGGTCGAGAATCCTGCTCACTGATTCACCTGGCCAGATCCACAAAAAGCTTAAAGCGGCGCTTACTGACTCTGAAACAACAATAACTTACGATCCTCTTCGCAGGCCGGGCGTCTCTAATCTTCTGGAGCTTCTTAGCCACTTCGAGGGACGGTCGTGCGAAGAGTTAGTTCTGGAGTTCCAGTCAACCAGTCTGCGAGCACTTAAAGAGAACCTCGCCCATAAAATATCCAATCACCTGCAGCCTATAAGAGAAAAATATTTCTCGCTGATGGAGGATAAGACTGGCTACCTTGAGGACATATCAGAGAAAGGTGCTCGAGCCGCTCGAGCCAACGCTGAGCTGACCATGACACGAGTCAGAGAAGCTATGGGCTTGTGAGGGTATATTCTGGTGCGACGTTCCGTTACGCCTTTCCATTACGTCCTCGCTGTTTGCGCACTTGTTTCTCCAATCTCTAGCCCTCCCCCATTTCTCCAGATGTACATATGATTCCCGGTGAACTAGCCGTGCTGGCAGGATTGTTGGCAATGTGATTACCATGCGTTACTAATTCATATCATATTCTGATATATGCTAGGAGCTGCCCAAGGAATAACCGACGAAGTTTGCCAAACAGATGTTGTAAGGCTTATATGACTTGACACACTGTGTTCAACCAATGATTGGTGGCGGCTCTTTTAGGCTTCAGGATTTCGGTTTTTCGGTTAGCGCTGGGCCAGAACACATGTTTCATCGCTGCTGCCTATGCCAGCATGCTACATCACTACAATACGAAAAGACAGCAAGGCAGAAGTCTCATTGAGTGCACACAGGCTAATGAGACTCCCCGTACCACGTGCATGTTCAGGGCGCACAGTACATCTCACATGCTCCACTTCAAATGACGACAAATTATATCCCTTGCTACTTCGTTGTATACGTAAACATGTGGGCTATCCGACATTATTCGGTACTGCGGGTGAACGGCATAGCCAATATCTACAGCAATATGCGCAGACTGGTTGTATAATGTGGCGTCCATCCCACCAACAACATTAAATCCATAGCCATGATACGAGGACGTTTTTCATACGGATCTCAGCTTCGAAAACGCTTCTTTTATAACAACCACTAGGTGCAAAAGTTGACTATTATCTTAAGAAACTGTAGACCTAAATGCAGATTTCAAACATGCATTCACTAGTGATCTGCCCACATACACAGTACATGCAGTATATACGGGTGCTCCAAGGCCGCCATACCAGTTACAGAAATGAAAGGACTACTAGGTAGCTAGAATTCAACTCTATGAGTAGTCATCTAACTTTATTATTGACTCGCACGTGATATATCGGTTACAGCCTTTATCAGTCGATTGTGGCTGCGGAAAAGGTAATCTGATCATGGCGGTGTACACCGCACCTGCCACACACACTTCAGTGTTCTCCAATCCGTCTGCCCAGTTACTCAGTTTACGGCGGAACATTACATAAACATTTTGCGCAACCGAAGAGTTGAGACTGTTAAGGGTTCTCCTTTCCCGCCCGAGCTAGCCGAATCAATGCCGGAATTGGCTTGCAAACCAAATCCGTCCGGGCGTGCCGTTTTCGCCCAAATGGCAGTTCCATTGAAACTTCCGTGTCCATACTTCTAACAGTAGTATGCCAAGACCCAACACAATAAAGAAGCAACTGTGGCGTAGAATAGGGTGTCTCTTAGCTTACACTATTTGGGCATGACACTTGGTAGCAGTTTAGGCTATGTAGCTTGTACAAAGTACTATCTTGGACCAATGATGGGATCCTGTACTCCGTGTACAATACTACATTGTATTTTAATTGAATCACCCTGTATGCTTATGCGTCTCTCTAGAAGAGATCCGGAATTAGTATCTTCTTGGACCCACAGATGATGACGACAGCAGAATAATACTGTCCTGTCCGAGAGCTCAGCCTAGAATAAGTGGGGCATGGAAATCTGGGCCCGAGTCAATCAGCCGACTAGTCCCGGACCAACAACTGAAACCCAGTGTGCCTACTGCCTACTACCCATAATGTTCCAATATAATAGCAATATGCCCCCTCTCCTCAAGCATGTGTGGAGGTCTAAAACAGAAACTATCCGTTTTCTCATTACTAGATTTTCTCTATTGCGATATAATATCGTCACAGTCCGCTTCAACCTCCTATCCTATCCCTCTAACCAACGAACGCCGGAATAATCACCCTGTACCAGCTCATTTCCAGCACCATTAGTGAGCCCACACTGGAATTTTATTCCACAAACTAAAAGTCGCAACTTTGCGGCACCTGAGCGATTTTGAGCCCGGAGAAGAAAGGATAGAAGGGTGGGGGACACAATGTGGAGAGTTCTGTCTCTCTTGGTTGCTGTGTCTTTTGTTCCACTCGAGACAGTAGAGGCCTTGATACTTCAGCGAAGAGAAGTGCCCGCTGTTGTGACCCTAGATATCAAACGCAACGATGTGTCAGATCCTGTAATGAGGGACCGCGCAAGACGCAAGCGAGATACAACCACTGTTTCTCAGGCCCTGGATAATGAGGTATGCGAAGGATCCTGGATTTGTACCAGTGCGTGTTGGCTTACATGTCATTGAAAGGAAACGCTCTATTTCTGTAATATAACCCTTGGAACGCCGGAACAGAGCCTACGACTGGTTTTGGACACTGGGAGCAGTGACCTTTGGTGCAACGCAGCGAATTCTACGCTTTGCTCCTCGTCGACAGATCCGTGCAGTACATCCGGCACTTACGATTCTGACAAGTCTACAACGTACACATATGTCTCGTCTGACTTCAATATATCCTATGCGGATGGAACCGGTGCGGCTGGTGTTTACGCAACCGATACTCTCCATATAGGTGGTTCGACGTTGGAAGATTTCCAATTTGGTATCGGGTATTCATCAAGTTCCTCCGGTACGTGGAATTCCCAGTTACAAAATTCTCATGCGCCAACAGGCGCTCGTTTTTGTGTATCATCAACTGACTCCTGTCTATAGAGGGTGTTTTGGGCATCGGCTATACTTCGAATGAGGTCCAAGTCGGCCGCTTCGGTGATAGCGCCTATCCTAACCTTCCTAGGGCAATGGTGAAAAATGGACTGATAAAGTCCAATGCCTACAGCCTATGGTTGAACGATCTAGATGCTAATACGGGTTCCATTCTTTTTGGAGGCGTAAATACGAAGAAATATCACGGTGAACTACAAACCCTTCCAATTCAGAAGGTTAATGGCATCTATTCCGAATTCATAATCGCTCTTACTGGAGTCGGCTTCACTTCGGGATCAAGCAGTCGCAATTACTCGTCAGATGCCCTTCCGGCTGCCGTTTTGCTTGATTCTGGTAGTTCCCTTACATATCTTCCAGATTCCATCGTCGAAGACATCTATAATGATTTCAGTGTTGTGTACGAACAATCTTCTGGTGTTGGCTATGTGCCTTGCAGTCTGGCACAAAACAACACTAATATCACCTACACTTTCTCATCGCCTACTATTGCTGTTGGGGTAAACGAGCTTGTTCTCGACGTGGGCGATCTCTTATTTCAGGACGGAGAACGCGCTTGTGTCTTTGGAATTGTCCCCGCTGGTGATAGTACCGCTGTCTTGGGGGACACCTTTTTACGCAGTGCGTACGTTGTCTACGACCTAGCGAACAATGAGATTTCCCTCGCCAACACTAACTTTGATGCGACGGGAAACGACATCTTGGAAATTGGAACAGGAGAAGACTCTGTGCCCGGGGCTACTAAAGTCGCTAATCCTGTCACGACGGTGGCAGTTGATGGCTCTGGTGCAAGGATTGGTGGCCCGACTGGTGCAACTTTCACTAGCATTCCATCCGCAACGAGTGGAGGCCATGCTACAGCAGGGTTGATGGGCGCTGCAAAACTTATAGCTTTTGCTGCTACTCTGATTGGGTACATGCTGAGTTTCTAACCTTCCTTGATGCACATTCACTTGGAGGTGACTTACTGAACATCTCCTCTTTGTATGCTGGCTTGCCCTTCTGTACATGCGCCAGTGGCCTTGCCTACTCGGTATGCTTTTAACTCGCGATACCCATGGCTTTTGATTTCAGACGCTTATTTTCTGTGTTCCTGGTGGGACACTTTATCATATTGTGAAACATATTGTACGGTCTCGGAAGGATCCGAATATATATTATGATTATGAGTATGTATCGCGAACTCGATGATTAAAACAGACTATATTTTGGCGATACCGTTGTTTTTATGGGACTTACTGGTCCCTGTGGTAAGAGTAGAGACAAAACAACGTCTTCTTTTACGCCGGGGGGAGGCGCAGGTCTGTGACTTCCCGGTTCGTGTAGCAAATGGTATCAATAGGCTGCGGGAGTCTCATCAACATGAGGCCTGATAGATTTAACACGGATACTATAACACAATTTATACAGCTCCCATGTAATTATTGTGTTCATATCCAACAATTACTCTATGACCTGTCCAATGTCACCACCTAGGGCATCCATACGAATAATGGCAGCGGTCAACATGGATAACCGGTGTAATCTTCCATCAACGGATGGTATAATAACCTTTTATTGTATCAAAGGATCGCACCCAGGCTGCCCTACATCATGATAGGGTATTTGCTCTGAATCCCCATTAGCCCACTTACTGCACAGTGCTTGCTCCCTTCTTATCGATAGAAGAGTATACAAGTGAGTCCTCGGTCATCTAATTGACTTGACTGCACTTTGGTCCCCACTTTGTATCATGCTGAGCCAATGTGCTTTCACTTCGAATCAGAGGTGAGGTTGACCACAGGTCGTAGTATTCCCCAATCCAAGTCTCTGTACTATAACCATACATGGCTCAGAAACCTCATGAGCGCTCTTGTTCAAAGTCCCATCATTAGCTGGCCAAATACTGATGCACAAATCATCCACTTGTAGATATTGTGCTGCCAAGGCACGGCACAAAGCTGCCACACGCTCACCCTGTGAATGGTCACCACATTCGAGCATTACAAGTCTTACCTTCATCTTGAAGGAAAGTGACAAAATATGGTAGTAAAAGATATCCTCCTGCTGGTGCAGCGGTATTTTCAGAGCGTCACCGAACACTGGAGGGACCAATGCAATCCTCGGCTCGTACATCCGAACACTTCGTGCAGTGGTCCCATTTCCATATGATTTCTCGGATATATACGGTGGGTTTGATATGATCACATCGAGATGGCACGCTGTACGCAGCGTTGATTCGGGAGTATCGCCCAGAGCTTGCTCCACATTCGATGCATCAACAGGTGCACCGCAGAGGACATTGCCTTTTCTGAAAGTAATATCCGCCATCGCTCGATCCAACAATTTTCCTTGTCGGATATTGTATATTAAATTCCTTCTCGCCAATTCA